GTGGCAGCCGTGGGCCCCGTGTCCGTGGCAGTGGATGCCAGCAGCTTCCAATTCCACTTCTACAAGTCGGGTACCGTCTCACTCTTCGTAACATGGATGGGTAAACTGAGGCAGGGCTGCCTCGCTGCGGGAGGTGGGCTGCTGAGCCCTTGTTGAGCCCGGGAGTTTCCCCAGGACACCTGGCCCAAGGGAACAGGATCCACCACCCTGCTTTCACCTGGAAAAGAAGTGATCAGAGCTGGCCCCCAGCTCACCCCAGCTCTGCTCTTCACAGGCATCTTCAGCAGCATGTTCTGCAGCCAGCGGGTGAACCACGGGATGCTGGCCGTGGGCTACGGCACCAGCCAGGACTGTGGGCGCAACGTGAGCCACTGGATCTTAAAGAACAGGTAGGGGCTGAGGGTGTGCCCCCCAAACCCACTGCCCCTTTCACCCCCACGCACGGCCTGTCCCTGCCTTCCTGCTGGGGTTGGAGCGGCACAGCAGGAGCATCCCTGTCCCGTCCCCATCTCGCTCGCCCTCCCTGAGCGGGGCCGGTTCTCCGTGCGTGGGAACACGGATGCGCTCATTCTCCATCTCTTCCTGCAGCTGGTCAGAGGTGTGGGGTGAGCGGGGCTACATCCGCCTGTTGAAGGGTGCCGACAACCACTGCGGGGTGGCCAACCAGGCCAGCTTCCCCGTGCTGTGAGCCGGGACATCTCTCCTTCCCCGGGACATCTCTCCTTCTCTGGGGCGTCTCTCCCTGCCCGGGCTGCAGATCCATGGCTGTTTCCTTCTGGAAAGGGGCTTTTGTTTGTGTGTGGTGAGAAGCAATTAAAAGTGGCACGGCTAACTGATCTGTCCCTGCAAGCGGTGGCTGGGCAGGGTTTGGTGGCTGAGGCAAGGCTGATGCAGCCGGTCCTTTTCCTGGTGGGAAAGGCGAAGCTCTCTCCATACGATGCTTGGCGAGCACCACTTTCTCCGCGCCTTTCCTCCCAGCCCGGCCATCTCTTTCCCCTCCTGTGGCCCCTTTTCCTTCCAGCTGAATCCCAAAGGCCACCAGCCAGGGCTGGATATTTTGGCCGTGGCTGCAGCTTTGCCCTGCCGGGACTGAGCCAACAACGCTGCCCCTGCACACCCAGCTCTTTTAAAAATAGATCTTTACCCCATTAAACCTGCGTGACAAAGCAGAAAATGAACCTCGCCCCCCCCCCATCCTACTTTTTATTTCCCCTCTGTCCTGAATAATTTGGGGAATTTAGTGCCACACACACACACGCAG